AAGGGCAGAAACAAGTCAACTAAATCTCTCGCCAACCTCTTAATTTCTACTTTTGTAGAAATAAATAACTTCAGTGCAGAGGGGAAGACTGAATTTCTTGGAGGATGTGTTCACCTTTGTAGCGCCGGTACCTTGAACAGAACCTGACATGTCGTAAGTGCTTAGCACAGAATCTGATGCAAAGTAGGTGTCCAGCCCAGGGCCTTTCTTCTTGATTCTGGTGACTTGCTGGTGATCTTTGGCTTTTCTTGGCCTCTAGCAGCGTCACCCCAATCTCCACCTTCATTTTCACATGATGTTCTCCCTATGTACATGTCTGTGTCCAAATTTCCCCTTTTAATAAGGATCCCAGTCATATTGGAGTAGGGGCCATCCAGTATGACCTCATCTTAGCTAACTACATCTGCAGTGATCCTATTTCCAAATAAGATGACATCCTGAGATATTGGAGGTTAAGACTTCAACCTATGAGTTTAGCCAGGAGGTGGTGTTTGAGCGGGCAGTGGGGGAGACATTTAAATCTAAAACACATGTATTTCAGGATCTAGTTGGTTATAGTTTCTGCAGGGAAAGATGAAGATTTTTGTCTGGTTACATGCTGAAATCAGAGCCCAAAGCCCACCAAACGGGCTGAGTCTGTCCCTGGAACCCCTTCTGCTGCTGGGCACAATTGTCACACCTGAGTTTTCTCAGTGCCTGCCCCACCCTCACCTTTGAAGGCTGTGGTCTGTCCCGGGACCTGGTAGGTCTCACTGCCAGCCTTCGACTCCATGAGGGAATCCAGACAGCAGTGACAGGTGAGCCCCTGACACCTGCCGGCCAATGACAAGCCACCCAAGTTAGCCAGGGACCCAGCAGCCCATGTGATCTCCAGTGTCAATGGCAGGGATTTCCAGGACAAGCTGGTGAGACTTCCCAGTGGAAAGGTTGACCAGCCACATGCCGAAACGTCCTGACATCCTACAAACCAGCACACTCTACAGCTGGACTCCGCGGTGAATTCACGACCTGGGTTCAGACCCCAGCTCTGCTCCTCTCCAGCTTTGTGACCTTGCCTTTCTGGGCCTCAGTTTCCTCATCTGCAAATGGAAATGATAACAAAGCACCTGTGAGGTAGCGCTGTTGTGAGAACAAACAAGTTAATTCACACGCCCGGAAGTGACGGGCTTGGGACGGCAGAACACAGAAACATAGGACTGCGGGGCTGATTCTCCCACGGATGTGAAACCACAATATTGCCTCGTTCACTGGAAAAGCCTCTTGTCTACCTGATCTCCTGCATCTCAAGAGCAGACGGGAAGCACTTGAGAAGTCTCATTGAGGTCCTATGGCAGAGAGGGATCTCTCCAGTTACTGGGGCTCTGCACATGAGGATGTTAGATGAGTTATTAGAGATGAGCTTCTTAATTAAAACGGTAAAATCTATTGCCTCCCAGAGTAGCACCCGAGCAAAACTGTGGGGAAGCAGGAGCCCAGAGCAGCGGTGTCACCTGGTGCTCCCTGCTTGTTCCGGTCTGGGACACAGCAGCGCTCTCCTCCCTCCCTCCCTCCCTCTCTCCTTTTCTTCCCCTCCTGCCCCTCTTCTTTCCCTCTTTCCTTCCTTCCTTTCCCCCCTCCTTTCCTTTCTTCCTTTTTCTTTTCCTTCCTTTCTTTTTCAAAGCAGATCCTTTATGTCAAACCAAAGTCTTAAATAGAACACCAATATCTCAATCAGGCAAATACAACATTTTAGGAGCATAGAATATGCTATGTGATATCACATAACATTTTATTCAGTGAAAACAAAACTCTTCTGGATTTAAAGTTGTACTTGCCCAGGGCCTTTGCACATGCTGTTCCCTTTCCTGGGAACACCCTCCCTCCCCGCCCCGATATCTGCATGGTTTGCTCTACCACCTCCTCCATGTCTCTCTTCGGATGTCACCTTCTCAGCTGGGCCCTGGCTGACCATCTATTTAAAATGGCACTAACCCACCCACCCCCAACCCCGTCAGTCATTCTCCCCGTGTCCCTTAATTTATGTTCCTCCCTAGTGCTTAGCATATTACCTACAGGTCACATCTTTGTTTTGTGTCTGGAGTAGGAGCTTCACGAGGGCAGGAATGTTGTGGGCCGTTTTGTCTGCTGCTGTATCTCAGCACCTAGGATAGCTCCTGTCACACAGTGGGTATTCAATACTTTTTGTCGAATGGTTAATAATAATGCAACTCTACAGGCAAACACACAGATTTGATATTGGGCGTGAATTAATGGGATGAAGAGTCTGACTCCACTTCTGATGTGCGACTGTTGACGGCTTTTGAGCTGCCCCCACCCCACCACCCCCTCCTTTCCCTCTGCCCCACATCTGGGCAAGCTGCTAAGGGACCCCAGGTGCACCTTCTTTGGGTGCTGGCGGGATGTTCAGAACACAATCAAAGAAGGGAACCCCCACCCCAGCCCCCTGCCTTAACCACCCTAGAACCCTAAGCCAGTCCCCCCGCCCTGTTCTCTCAAGCTGATTGCAGACCTGCCTCGGAGCCTCCCCTGCTCCGCCAAGAAAGCTGCACAACGTGAGTAATGTCATCCTGTGCACTTTCAGCGCATGTGCGATATCAGTCTTGACCTCTGACCCAGATTTTGAGTGAAACATCTCTGTGAAGTAACACAACTGTGAGAAACTGGTTGCCGTCCCACCAGCCCCAGCTCCCAGATTAGCTCTGTGTTGGCTTTGTTTGTGCGACATCAAGCAAAATCCTCATTTGGGAAATTAAGGGGTTGCCCGTGGTTACAGCTTTCGTTCAGTCCCGTTATCTTGTCACCTCGGGTTACACTTTGATGAGTGAAATCAGAAGCTTGAAAGCGAAACAGAAGCAGATTTTTGTTTCAAACACAAATTCCACATCGTATCAACTGCTTACACTCCTAAACTTAAAAATGATAGCACCTAGAGTGGACAGTTAAGAACCAGTTATGTGTAACATGGCTTCACCGCATTACACCCAGGGTTTCTCTGTTTTTCACCAGAGTGCACAAACATTTGGTTTTGCACAATTTTATACATAAGGAGATTATTTTGCTGTGAAGATGGGCCGGGCAGGTAATGCCCGATCCTTGCCTGTCACTGACTGTCCGGGATGGACATGTGACTCGTTGCGGAGAGATTTGGAAAATTTTACATAAGCTGGGAAGCAGCGTCCAAATTTAGAAAAAGATCGCTGGTGACCTTCTGGAGACATATGCATGAGAAACTCAAATACTGCATCTCGTGGGCTCTAAGATACACCATGAAAAACAAAACATAATGAAAACACTGCGAATTAATCCCACGGGTTACCAATTGTTATGCTCATTTCATAGTACCTAGCGGAGGTCCTAGTGCATAGTAGGCACTATTTGTTGAGTGATGGAACCGAAACCTGGAGAGGTTAAATGACTTGTTCAAGATCTTTGGTAAGAGGTGGATCTAAAATTCAAGCTCAGGTCTGACTCTGGAATTCTAAAGGCAGGAAGTCTCCTGCTAGTAAACGTGAAAGTGCCCGTCCGTGAGTATGGGTCCGAAGACAAGAAAACGTTGCCTTGAAAGCCAACTCATCTCTCATCTCTCTCTCTCTCTCTCTCTCTCTCTCTCTCTC